TATTCAGATTAGCCTTAAGAAAGGTTCCAGGACAAGGGCAATAAGTAAAGGGGATAAGAGATAGCCTTGCCTAGTCCCATTGCCATTATTTAAAGTAATCAAACAACAGACCATTTACTTCCATCTGAGCTGGGTTTCTGGTATAAGGCCCAAATCTAGCCCAGCATTCGTTCACCAAGCCCTATTTTTCGAAGTGTTTCCATCATATAGGTTCAGTTCACTCTGTCGAAGGCCTTTTTGAAGTCCATCCAACAAAACCACACAAGGTGTTCATGCAGGATCATTTTGGGTCCAACGTAAGATATGTGAAGCGAGAATAGTGTTATCTCTGGCCTCACAGCCTACCATAAAGCCTGTCTGGTTCGCATGCACAAGGGCCGCAGCATGGTTCTGGAGTCGAACAGCCAGAAGTTTGGCCAACAGCTTATAATCCGAGTTCAGCAACGAAATGGGTCTATAGTTGGGGCAGTATTGGGGATCTTTACCTGGCTTCGGTAGCACTGTAATATGGGCTAGAAGTGCCCCCAGAGGCAAGGAATTAGTAGCTGTAATGAAATTGAAGTAATGACATAATGGCTCAGCTAGGATGGAGAAGAATTTTTTTCTAATATCGGCTAGAGAAACTGTCCGGTCCCGGACTCTTGCCCAGTGGGAGGTGAGCAAAAATTGCGCCTAATTCCTCGGTGGTAATTGGGCGGTCCAATTCTTCCATAATCTGGGAGAAAAAGTTGAAGAGAGCAGTCATTCAGGTATGCCCGCACCTTATCAATATGGTCCTGGTCACCCTCAGTAGGGAAGGCAGACTGGAGGTTATAGAGGGAGGCATAGAAATGCTGAATTTCTCCAGCAATGGATAGTGTATCCACTATTTGCCCACCTTGTACTGTCAGGCCATGAACATGGCGTAGAGCTTGCTGTTTTTTTAATTGTCTGACCAGGAGACGGCTACATGTGTTTATAGAAACAGTGGGCATAAAATCTAAGCTTATCCTGGGCTCTATAATCTAGGCACTGGGATAAAGATGTGCATAAGGCCTCTAACCTCTGAGAATCGGCTAGGGCAGAATGGGGTTTATGGTTTTCCCATATGGCCTGCGTGGACATATCCTCAGAGGAATTGGTTGCAAAGTAGGACTGTAAAGAGCTTGTCACTGCCGCCACAATGGTGGGGTCACCTAAAAGGTTTTCATTTAGTCTCCACACTCTCTCCACCTGGTGGGCAGTCGGGGGACAAATGGAAATTGTCACTGGGGAGTGGTCTGAGATCATGATCCCAAGAGGAGGAAATAACTTGCTCAGGTAGAATTGTTCCACAAAGAATAAGATCAAGTCATGTAGGAGCCTTTTAACATGCTTAAGTGCTCAAAAAGAGAGCAGGGTTTTACCTGAGGAGGTGTCCATGCTGGGGTCTAGGGCAATATTAAAATCACCCCCCAAAACTACCAAACCTTCCATGAAAGTTGATAACTGCTTAAGAGAGGTTGACAGGAAGTTGACAGTAAGGGAATTCGGGGCAGAGATGGATGCAAATGTATACCTTTGGTTGTGAATCGAGCCTTTGAGAAAAAGGAAATGGGTGTCTTGATCTGTTTGTACAGAATGTATGGAGAAGGGGCGAGATTTTCAAATCGCAATAGACACCCCGCTTGCTTAGAAATAGGTGATATACTTGTGATACCATTGGTCAAACGTCTGAAGAGGTAGGCAGGGAGTGGAGCTGGCAGTGAAATGTGTCTCCTGTAAAAATAAAACATCTGGGGACAGATTGTGCAGTTCCTGCCAGAGCCGGCCCCGTTTTTGAGTGGAGCAAAGCCCCGAAACATAAGACACAATCTTTATTTTGGAAGCCATGGTGAGAAGTATAAAGAGAATAAGCACCATACATTTTTAATAAGATGCCCATCAGGATATTAGGAAGTGGACAATCTGGATAAGGTAGCACCTGGAAAATTAGCAGTAACTATCTCCCCCCCCCCCCCCCGAGGATAACTAAAAACATACCAACAAAGCAACCAAAAAGAATGAAATATAAATAATATCCTAAAGAAAGATGAACATTCTGGCGGGGTGACGACCTCGGAGAAGAGGGAAAGTCTTTGAAGAAGCAAAGTCATGGCCCGTGCGATTCTTCTTATGTGGTCTCTTAGAGGCCTGTTGCCAGTGTTCCTGGCACTGTAGTAGGGAGACGTCGCTGTGGAGCCTCCAGTCTGGGAAGTCGGTTGATGAGAGATCCAAATTTTCAAGAAAGTGGCTGTTAGGCAAAAGGGGAACCCCCATCGGTAAGAAACACTCACTACACGTAGGGCATCCAACAGAGTGCGTACTTTGCATTTCTGCATGCGAGTTCTCCAAGAAAGGTCTGGAAAGAGAGATGTTAGTACCATCAAAGTCAATTTTCGGTTTGTCACAGGCTGCTCTCATAATCTCCTCTTTCACTGAATGTTTATGTAATCGGCATATAACATCCCAAGGCCTGTCAGCAGCTTGGGGGTTCTGAGTAAGGCTCTGTGAACCCTATTGAACTCAATGGTCTCCGGTGCTGAGTTGCCCAGGAGTTGGTGAAATATGCCTTGATCTGTGTGTGACAGGTCATTGGCCCAAGTGGCTTCCGGCAGACCCCTAATGCGAATATTTTGCCGTTGGTTCCTGTTTTCGTAGTCATCAATCTGATCTAGGAGGGAGTTTAACATATCCTCATGGCGTTTAGCGGTCTCATGCAAAGCTCTCATGCAAACCAGTGATAGTATGTAGAGAGTCCGCTTGTCCTATCTCCAGGCCATCAACTCTGTACACCAGTGCCACTGTGTCCTCACGTATCCCCTCAATTGCTTGCTTAAAGGAGTTTTCAGCTGAGGCTATCAGTTGCTGTATATCTGCCCTAGTAGGGAGGGCGCTGATGTTTTCCCTTAAGTCCCAGTCATGTTCCACAGCATCTATTTCCAATTGTGGGGAGAATCTGCCTGCCGAATGCATGAAGAGTAAGGGGCTCTGGCACAGTACCTGAGGGATTGCGAACGGTGCAGGGGAACTGCTGCTGCAGTCTGATGGGGAACACTGGGTCTCCTCATGGTTGTGCGCCTGGAGCTATCCGTGAGCGGGCCCAAGGAGTGGAGACCGCTGGAGCAGGATCCACCACCGCTGGGAGGTCAGGCAGCATTTAGGAGGCATGCCCGGGAGTGTTAGCTGAGGCTGGGGAGCACTGCTATAGCTGTTAATATTAAAATATATATCAGTGATGCACCCTAATATTGTATATTTGAACCAAAGAAAGACCTAAGAATGGGGACTTTTGAGGCGCAACATAGACATAAAAACATAATTTATTGTGTTTCAGAATCCAATATATGTGACATCTTTATTTCACATCAACAATACTGAATCGTATAAAAAGTGAAAAGTTTACAACATCAGGGAACAGCATATCTCTTCTCATATGATCCAATTCTTTATAAACTTTAGGCTCATTCTTTTTAGGCTTGAGCTCAATGTGTTTCATGGGCTTGATCCATCATCATATAGACATTTAACTACTAATATAAACAAAAACAAGAACATACAGTCAAAAATTTATATTTTCCAATTCTGGTTAAATAGAGTATCATATTGCAGGTGCACGGGGGGAGGAGAAAAACCAGGGGGCCAAACCCCCTGGGGACCCAAAGGGGACGATGGAATACGAGCCGCATTGTATATGCATAAATCTAAATATTTGAATAAACATTACCTCCAAATAGATCAAATGGTTTCAAACATTCTAATTGGTGTAGGGATGCTCTAGCCACGAACCTACGCTGGCTTCTATTTGTATGCTCTTCATACCGCAAAATCTTTTCCTAAATGTTAAATATATCATTTAAAGCCAACGAATACATTCACAGAGTATTAGGAGCAGGAAAACATATAAATTGTATCCAACACCCACCTCTACAAATACACCCGCTCCATGGCGACATATTAGAAAACAACTTCTTCAACAGGAGTGGTGGGTGCATAGAGCATTGTGAGCATTGTGTAAGTGTGACACATACAGGTATTTATTGCCTTTTTATCCCAGTACTCAATTACATTCTTTTCACGTCCAATTCTCCTCCAAAGACCAGCTCCATGTTCGCAAGGTTCAGCATCTACTTCTGCACTAAGATGTGGGCTCATAGATGGGCCAGTTGTACAAATGCTTGGGTCTGCACAGTACGCTATATTGTTATTGGTTTATTTTTTGTTAAAATGTGAATGATCACTGGGGAGATGGAAGAAATGATTTGTCTTGCTTGCAGCAGACTGGTGACATCATTATTCCAACATGCTTCTCTCTGCCTAGTAAATCACCTGACTGGCGCTCGAGGATTGCTTTTTAATGGAAAAAGATTCTGTTGCTGTACATTGACACATGTAAGAAATTTATTCAAGCAAACATGTAATTTGCTGATCAGCGTGCTTTAATTACCAAGTGAGCAGATACAAGATGACTACTATTAAAGTGGTTGTAAAACTCAGACATGAAATATAAACAAAGAATATCCCTCTATAGTGTACTTGTCGCAATCCAGAGCATTATGTGTCATTTCTGTCTGTTGCCGCCTTCCTCTAGTAAAAGCACGAATTACTTCTGACAGGTTTTTCTGACAACAAATGAAAAATGGTGACAGGAGGGCACAGCCTGTGATTGAAAGCCTCAGCTCTGTTCCTGTTTGTTGCGTGAAGGGGGTGTGTCCCTTCCCTCCAACCAGCTCTCAGAGCTCTCCTCACTGATTTAACTTCAGCTCCTTGCTCTGTGATTTTCAGAGTTGAGAGATCGTGTGTAAATTCTGCACATTGAATGGATGTAGGGGACAGACGGTATAGATAAGCAGGTGCAACCTATATAAGAGGATTTGTTTAATCACTGTGCATCACCTGAGGACAGACACTTCACTGGGTATATGTAAGGGTTTACAAGCACTTTAATTTGTGTTACTTGTCAGTACTTGTACAGCCAATATTTTTTTTTTATCCATTTCTAGATGTGCCTTTGCCAATACCCCAAAATACAGCCAGGTAAAAAAAAAAGCAGCAGGAGGAATCATTGTGAGGAAAGAATGGGTCATGGACTGCTACCGGTCAAAGCAACGTTTACCTTATAAAAAGTAAGTCTGTCTCTTTTTGTTATTAGATGGACTTTCAAACTAAAGTGTAATGCATACCTATTTTATCTTTCCTTTGTTCCACACTCCCCCCGATCAGCATGCAATTAAAATGTTGAGATCAAAACTTAAAATTTTCAATATATACCTCTTGTTAGAGTCAGTATAGTCATTGCTGGGTCTCTTCGCTCATATATGTACTGCAGTAAGATAGTTACATAGTTAGTCTGGCTAAAAAAAAAGACAAAAGTCCATCCAGTTCAACCAAAGAAAAAAAAGAAAGTTATCCTATACCCACCATTGATCCAGAGGAAAGCAAAAAAAAAAACAGCAAAGCACGATCCAATTTGCTCCTGCAGGGAAAAAATTCCTTCCTGATCCCCTGAGAGGAAATCGGATATTCCCTGGATCAACCTTACCTATAAATGTTAGTATCCAGTTATATTCTGTGGATCTAGGAAAGAATCCAGGACTTTTTTAAAGCAATCCACTGAGCTGGCCAGAACCAACTCTTGAGGGAGTCTATTCCACATTTTTCACAGCTTTCTCTGTGAAGAAACCTTTATGTATTTGGAGATTAAATTTCTTTTCCTCCAGACGTAAAGAGTGCCCCCTTGTCCTCTGTGATGACCTCAGGGTGAATAACTCTACACCAAGTCCACTATATGGACCACTGATGTATTTATACATGTTCATCATATCCCCCCTTAAAGTGTTACTAAACCCAAAACAGTACAATCAGTCTGTATATGCAGTAAAGCATGCTTGTTATACTCACTGTGGAGCCTAAGGCGTTATCCTGTGCATTGTGTAAAAAGGCTGTTTGAGCTTTTCTTCTCTGCCCCTCCTCTTGTTGAAATGTCCACACGATACAGACTGAATCCATAGTCACATGCACATGCTCAGTTTGGTGTGTATTGCTAGAGAGGTTTTTTTTTTTTCTTTCTTGGAATGGTGCATGTGATCAGCACATTGCCAATCAGCACTGCCCAGACAAATCAGGGTCAGGGGTTTCACATCCTCCTATAGCACAAAGAAAACTTCTTCTACAAGCTTTAACCAGTGCTCTGCTGAAGTCACAAGACTGCTCTAACTGGTAAAAGGTATTTAGCAGTTTATATTTATTAAAATAATTGCATTTCCATGTTCTGTGGGAGACCAGATATAGTGAAGGCAGGGTCCGGGGAGAGCAGATATAGTGAAGGCAGGGTCCGGGGAGAGCAGATATAGTGAATGCAGGGTCCGGGGAGACAGGATATAGTGAATGCAGGGTCCGGTGAGACCAGATATAGTGAATGCAGGGTCCTGGGTTTAGTATCACTTTAATCTCTTCTCACAAGAGAATAAATTCAGTTCCTCTAATCTTTCCTCATAGCTGATCTCCTCCATGTCTCTTATCAGTTTGGTTTCCCCTCTCTGTACTTTCTCCAGTTCCCCAATGTTCTTTTTGTGAATTGGTGCCCAAAACTGAACTGCATATTCCAGATGAGGTCTTACTAATGATTTGTACCGGGGAAATGATATCTCTCTCTCTCTGGACTCTATACCTCTTTTAATACAAGAGAGGATTTTGCTCACTTTAGAAACCGCAGCTTGGCATTGCATGCCAATATTAAGCTTGTGATCTACCAGAACTCCCAGATCCTTCTCCACCATTGATTCCCCCAGTTGTACCCCCCCTAGTATATATGATGCATGCATATTCTTAGCCCCCAAGTGCATAACCTTACATTTATCAACATTAAACCTCATTTGCCACATAGTTGCCCAATTAAACAGTGCATTGAGGTTATCCTGTATTTGTGTTTGATGGAAGGGGCTGGCAGGTTCACAGCATCCTGCTGCAAACCTTCTTTTAAGAGCCCTCCCAAGCAGTGGATTGCCTCTTAAGACGGGTCATGTAATTGTTGGCCACCTTGATGATCGGGCTTGTAGGCAGCTCCCCTGTCTTCACTGCAGTCTCAGCCTGGTGAGTTGGCTTGAGGAGTGGGCATTGCTAGGCAGACTGCATTTGGACTGCAAAGTGAAACAAAAAGCGCACCAACCTTGCGCATTACCTCAATAAACTGTGATTTTATTAAATTGAGAATAATACTCACAAACAACGAAGTAAATCAAACATATAGGTCCTCAAGCATGTAGGTCCCGCACAACCTTCTATGCATTGGTGGTCGCATTTTCTCAAGTTCTGTTTCCATCCATCCACCCTTGCTCTGGGTCTTAGAACACAGGAGAGGTTGTTTCTGTTTAGACTGCATTTGCATGCAGACCGCCCTAGGTAACGCACTTAATGCTGGGAATGGTTAATAGCTCTGAAAGCTGATTGCTGGCAGGGACACTGAGGATCGGGAGGAGAAGCTTCTGATAGCACTTTAATCATCCAGCCCAAAAATGAGGTGAGGGCAAGATAGTTGCTGCAGCTTCTAAGGCTTGTATGGAAGTTTCAGTGTGCAGGGAAATGAGACTAATAACTTTTAACACAGGAAAGGACTTTCTACAAGTGTGCAAAATGAAAGGTAACGCTGGAGTTCCATCTTTAACCCCTTCACACCGGATTGTCCTGGCGTGAAGAGGAGTTCCTGCGCCGGGAGGTGGGCGGGACGGGGCAGGGATTAGTGTCATGTGGCCGCCGTGACGTCACGGCCGGTCACATGATCGGGAAAAGTCCCAGTGGAAAGAGCGGACCAGGACCTTTCTGTGAGTACCGCACATGTGTGCTGGGAGCGCGCAGGGCACGCACTCTCAGCACATATGTTTTTTGTTACATGAACGCAAATGTGCGGCCGCTCAGCGTCTAGGCCCAGACGCCGGGAGGCGGCACATTTGCATGCAGCCGGCGTAAAGGGGTTAAGTAAGCAAACAACTTTTATGGCTTTAGTGCAGTCACAGTAAACTGTATGGTGGATGGCATGAGAACCCCACTGATTGGTTTCACTTGAACTAGTAATAGGGACAGACCAATCTCCATATACATTAATAGACATGAATATCCCCATTAAGAGAAGTACAGAGAATATTTGATGTACTGTTCTCATTCCAGATATTTGATGGATGGTGTTGAAAGCAGCACTGAAGATGACAGTGAGGAGGACTCTCCACCCCGACCAAAAGCCACAACACACAGACCAGTAAGTATCCTCAGTATCTAGCATATCTTATTTCTTTAGCCTGTATCTGCAGCAATGTGCATGCCATTCCTGCTGACAGCTTGCTTCTTATGTCCAGTACACATTTTTATCCTTCGCTTTTAAACCCTAATCTGAAGAGCATCACTATCAGTAGGCATTTACTAAGCATTTTAAAAAGGAACTGAACTAGTTTCTCAAAGCAAAAGTGAAACAATCTTTGTTTTACAAATAAATATTTAATACGGGGTAAACCCATGACAAACGATCCCCAGAAAACTAAGGGACTTTCTAAAGACATAGCAGAAGCTCTTTTTTTTGTTTGCTTTTTTTGAACAGTGGTTTCTAGTCGAATGTTTGCACAGAGCTATATGGCAAGAAGGGGAGGAGTGACTGCTTGGAAATAATATGTGTAAATTCTTGCTTGAGATGCTAAGGTCTATAAAAAACAAAATACTCATGCAATGTTTCATAGTAACCTGACAGCTAAAATAATGAAAATACATACAAATCCACTACAAATTCACTTCAAAACAATATTAACATTTCTTGTCCAAGCCCAATCATGACTGGTTCTTTTTGGCCAAGGGAAAGAGAATGTATTTTTATGATGTAGGTTGTAGAGGCTGATAGATGAGCTGTCATCTTAAAGTCCAGCCAGATCACTTCAGGATGGATCCTTTTGCAGGTATAGTGATGTAAACATTATAAATAAGCTCCTATACTTTTTAAAATCCAGCACCGCACTGTATCATTCTGCTTTGCACATGCTCACTTTCTCTTTATTTTGCAGTGCTGTGCTGAATTTGTAGGGGCCAATCTGCTAACAGCCTAAAGATTTACTGCTGTTCAGGAGCTCTGAGCTTCAGGAAAATGGCAACCTCCAATAATAAGAAACAAACAATGCTGGAGGCAATTTACAGCACACACTCATTTTGGTAGCATAATTATTAATGTGGAATGTATGTTACTGGCTAAAGAACATTATTTTTATCAAGTTGTTATGGGTAAAGTTCCCCTTTTATTCATCCTTCATGTTGTGTTCCTATCTTGTGTTTTTCACTTTGATATCAGAATCCAGAAAACAGCCGGACAAACCACAAGACTCAGGGGTCCAGCCCAGCTAAGGCCCAGCCAGCTAAAATAGCAGTCAAAGAGGAGGATAGTGAGGAAGAGGAGGAGGAGAAACCCAAGAGACCAACAGAGGAGGATTTGTTTGGAGCATCTACAGATGAGGAGGATATGGGTGAGACTCCTTATACTATTTATTCTCCCCATTCTTAAAGTGGTTGTAAAGGCTCAAGGTTTTCCATGCATGAAGGTAAAAAACCTTCTGTGTGCAGCAGTGCCACCAGCCCCCTCAATACTTTCATGAGCTCCATCGTGATCCAGCAATGTGAATGACAGCCTCCACTGTTCTGGGTCTCTGCCTCCTCATTGGCTGAGACAGCAAGTGGGAGCCATTGGCTCCTGCTGCTGTCAATCACAGCCAGTCAGCCAGTGAGGAGGGGCCAAGCCGCGGCTCCATGTCCACTGAGCAGTGGGTGCCCCCATAGCAAGCTGCTTGCTGTGGGGGCATCCGACAGACAGGAGATCCTGCGGGGGGACCCAAGAAGAGGAGAATCCAGGCTGCTCTGTCCATAACCACTGCATACAGCTGGTAAGTATAGAGATGTTTGTTATTTTACGAAAAAAAAAATTAACCTTTAGAATTGCTTTAAAGCACGTGTTTCACTAAATTTACAATTCAGTTTCTTTTCTTTCCTCCCCTCTCCCTTTACATAATTTCCTACTATTTTCCCTCCTGGCAAGACTGGGGAAGGCCGGGATGTAAATTTGACTTACCTCTGTGACTTTATGGTCAGCATTTAATATTGAATGACTTTGATGAAAGTTTTTGGATCACTGGCATTGAAAACTTCTATTTCCACCCTAGCACTTACAGTACCTCCGACTTTGGCCTTAGAGCTCATGTTGACTAAACTCTTTGCAAGCTGTTGACACCTCTGTCGGCCTCTGATTGTTACAGGTGGAAGACGCTGTGATGAAGAGGACTCAGGTGGTGATACAGAGGATGAGCTGAGGAAGTAAGTATAATGTCCTCTGCTGGAAAGTATTGGCACTATAGGAAAGAATTTGGGGGTTATGTCTTTAAATATGACCTCATTATGACATCTAATAGGATGATGTCACTGCCTGCACTACAAAAGTGAGGGAAATGGGAGTATAGCATATAACTATTTTTCCCCCCACAGGTACTTTATGTAGTGCTTTATGGAATGGAAAGAAGGGGGCACCTTGAATAAGTGGACTTGGCCACTAAGGTCTGCTTTAAAGTAAAGTTACATATATAACTATGTTGCCCTATGTAGTAACCATCAGTTTTCTTATAAGATAATTGAAGGACAATGACAATAGCTAATTTGGTATTAGGGGAGGTGACATTTTTTCTCTTAGGGTCCTTTCAGATGGGGCGCTCAGCTCTGTTCAGCAAGTAATCCGTGAGCAGAGCCCCTGCTGATTTGGAGCAGAACAGGACAAGAGTCAGCTTTGCGACATCTGTGCCTGTTCAGTTTTTCATCGTCCTTTTGACCAGAAAAACTGGCCAACTTTTATCGATTTTATGGGCAGCCTGATGTGAATGGTGTAAAAGTATCTATTTACATTAGGCTGCCTCCAATCCATCACATTGGGGTCTGGAAAAACAGACAAGGTCAATTCTCTGACATTCATTGACAGACACAGGTCTTCTAATTTTTGACCATAGGGTTATATCGCCACCTACAGTAGTAGGACACTGGTCAGAAAAGACTCTGACCTCTTACGGTGGTTCCATGCCCTGTACCTCAGGCATCCATTTAATTTTCCCTTCCCCTAAACAGTTATCCTGAGGGATATCAGCCTGCCTGGCTGAGGTGGAGTCGTGCGCTGGTTCTCTCTGGAGCGTCGACCAAACCTTTCCTGAGGCCTTCTGGCCAGGATCCTGTCAAACAATGTCACCAAAGTGACTGTTCTCCAACAGAGGGGCAAAAGTAGTATGGCAGCGACGCTAGAGGATTTTCACTTTTTGCAATGGACAGAACAATGTATGGCTCAAATCGCACTGCACAGACATTTGCATGTAATTCGCACAGGAATGCAGTCCAATTTCTGTGCGAATTACATGCGGTGTCCCTCACCACATACTGTGAACCCGGGCTAAATGGGCACAAGTTTGTTTACATTCACCTGCCCATAAACCTGCATGGAGCTTCCAATCAGATCTGCATGAAAAACTGAGAGGCAGACCTAATCGTAACACCTGTGTGAAAGAAGTTATAGTATGGCATCCTGGAGACAGTGTTTGATCTCATCCATCTGTGATATGTGATTACATTCAGGATGGAGGAGGAGAAGCTGAAAAGAGAAAAGAAGAGCTCTGCTCCAGAAGATGACAATCCATATGCTGGGTCTACAGATGAAAACACGGATGTAGAGGAGGAGCCAGAAGTGGACCTGCCCATTCCGGATCTTCCAGGTTGGAATAGCATGTGGGGCCACGTAACTGGCATATTATATTAAATATCCTTTCACTTTACAGTAAAAAAGAATCCTAAAACAGACATGTTTTTGGCTTAAAGAATACCTTCACTTATGTTAAAAATTTACTTGCCAAATATATATTTGCAGCATGGCCCATTTTGTAATTTAAAGCTGAACTAAACACAGTCAAAACACATATATGTGAGATTTGTACTTGACAATGGATTTGAATTTCTGTCCCATCTAGTCCTGAGATTTACTTGGTGTCCTTACACAGCACAGCCTGGTAGATGACACCAGTAACTTTAAATGAATGCAGTGGTGTCCTCTCTCTTTTTTTCCAGCCTGCTGGCTGGACAGTGAATGAGCAGCAGCTGGCTGATGACCTAATTTCTGTGCTCCTTTTCCCATGAGCACTTTCCTTGTCAGCACATTTGCATTAATAACCCCTGGTTGGGTTCCATTTCTGCCCTTCCTTCTCCCATTTGGGTTCCATTTCTGCAGTTCCTTCTCCCATTTGGGTTCCATTTCTGCCCTTCCTTCTCCCAGTTGGGTTCCATTTCTGCCCTTTTTTCTCCCATTTGGGTTCCATTTCTGCCCTTTTTTCTCCCATTTGGGTTCCATTTCTGCCCTTTTTTTCTCCCATTTGGGTTCCATTTCTGCCCTTTTTTTCTCCCATTTGGGTTCCATTTCTTCCCTTTTTTCTCCCATTTGGGTTCCATTTCTGCCCTTCTCCCATTTGGGTTCCATTTCTGCCCTTCTCCCATTTGGGTTCCATTTCTGCCCTTCCTTCTCCCAGTTGGGTTCCATTTCTGCCCTTCTCCCAGTTGGGTTCCATTTCTGCCCTTCCTTCTCCCAGTTGGGTTCCATTTCTGCCCTTCCTTCTCCCAGTTGGGTTCCATTTCTGCCCTTCCTTCTCCCATTTGGGTTCCATTTCTGCTCTTCCTTCTCCCAGTTGGGTTCCATTTCTGCCCTTCCTTCTCCCATTTGGGTTCCATTTCTGCCCTTCCTTCTCCCATTTGGGTTCCATTTCTGCCCTTCCTTCTCCCAGTTGGATTCCATTTCTGCCCTTCCTTCTCCCAGTTGGGTTCCATTTTCTGCCCTTCCTTCTCCCAGTTGGGTCCCATTTCTGCCCCTCCTTATCTGATACCAGGTCAAATTCAGGTACACACTCTGCTTGCATTTAAAAAAAAATACATCTCATGATGTAATAAAAAACTACAGATCTGCATTCATTCGTTTCTTTTCCTGAAGTTCAGCTTTAAAGAATATGTAAACCTTTGTAAAACAATCCATTCAGTTTAAAATAGAAATGAAAGTCAAAACATTTGTGTATAGATCTAAAAAAAATTTTAAATACTTTTTTTCTCTTTTTCCTCTGTTCTCTGCTGCTGCGAGGGGGCATGTCAGCAGAAATCTGATCATTGGAGGAGAGCAGGCTGAGTTCCCAGCACAGCTAGAGAACTGACCACACTGTGCTCTCCTACCTAATGTAGTCAGTTTTTAAAGGGAAAGCAGAAACTGGCAGGAACACCAGGGATTTCACACAAAGGAATCAATACAAACAGAACAGGATACTTTTTCATACAAGTACATGGTACAGCAGGTACATATCAGGAATTTGAAATGTTGGGTTTACATATTCTTTAAAGTACAATCCAGATTTTTTAAATGTTATTTTTAATCCCCTCAGCCCTGTGTTAGTAAAAGGCTGGATTTCTGATTTAATATTCTGACCCCCTCCTTGCTTAATATAACATCGAGAGGTCACCAATAGTTATTATTTTAATTTCAAAATTTTTCTTTTTGCAATACAGATCTCTTTGCTGGTAAACGTTTTTTCTTATATGGAGAATTTCCTCCATCTGAGCGCAGGATGCTCCAGCGATACATTGTGGCTTTTAATGGGTAAGTGTTCATTTAATTATTAATATACAGTATTTATAAAGCGCCAACAGTTCGCTCAGCGCTGTACATTTACAATGGGAGACAATACATGAGACAGTACAATAACAATACAATGCGATACATGAGGGGTTCGAGGGCCCTGCTCCTTGGAGCTTACAATCTAGGAGGGTGGGGATAGTGGTACGGGAGGAATAGCTGTGGGGGATGGAGTGGTAGGAAGAGTGGAGGAGATCGGCGATTAGCAGAGAGCGGGGTAGGCTTCCCTGAAGAGGTGGGATTTCAGGGTGCGCCTAAAGGAGAGGAGAGTAGGTGATAGTCTGATGGATTGGGGTAGGGAGTTACAGAGGATGGGTGAAGTCCTGGAGGCGAGCCAGGGAGGAGATGACCAGGGAACTAGAGAGAAGGAGGTCTTGTGAGGAGCAGAAAGTACGTTTTGGGTGGTATTTGGATATCAGGTTGGTGATGTAGTTTGGGGCAGTGTTATGGACAGCTTTGTACATCAGTGTTAGCATTTTGAATTTGATCCGTTGGGCAATCGGAAGCCAGTGGAGGGATTGGCAGAGGGGGGTGGCGGAAACGGAGCGGTTGGTAAGGTGGATGAGTCTGGCTGCAGTATTCAGGATCGACTGTAGCGGGGATAGCCTGTGGTGGGGTAGGCCAGTGAGGAGGGAGTTGCAGTAGTCAAGTCGTGATATGATAAGGGAGTGAATGAGTTGCTTCGTAGTTTCCGGGGTTAGGAACAAATGTATTTTGGCGATGTTGCGGAGGTGGAGTCTACATGAGTTTGTCAACGATTGAACCTGGGGCTGGAAGGACATATTGGAGTCTAGGATGACACCAAGTATTAAAGCTACCAATTGCCAGCTAGATATCATTTACGGTTTGGTCAAATACATGTCGCCTTCCTTCTAATTCCATTTGTACTGTAATGTCTGTACAGGGAACTGGAGGAATACATGAATGACAAGGTCCAGTACGTGATAACGGCTCAGGAATGGGACGACAGCTTTGAAGATGTGAGTCCTCCTACCCAGTGTGTCGTCACGTCATTTAGAATACTCAAACCTGAAACCTCTCAACCACTTAACCTTTATGCTAAACGTCTCTATTCAAGCAATCTCAACACCGCGGCTGACCCCCATCCTTTTTATTTCCCACACCACACCTGCCCCCATCCTACCCCTTTGCTGTCCCCACCTCTCCCTCTGCATCAACACCTAACACCTGCATCTGTGCTTGCTGCCACTGTACTGACACATGCCTCAGCTCTCACTGCCACTGTACTAATGTGCACCTCTGTGGTCTTTGCCATTGCAGTGACTCCCCCCCTGTATTCAACCCATTCATTGAACAGGCGCATGTTTGTTAGTATGACCAACAAAAGAACCCTCAAAGTGATTCAGTAGCGCATAAAATATATAAATATGTAAATAAATAAGTGATCACTCAACATAAGTGAAAAAAATATATATAAAGTCTATAAAAAGTCTCTTCCACCAAATAAATCTTGAAATTCCCAAAAAGAAATCACCACGTGCAAAAGGATGACGTTCCCCCTTTCAGGTATACACTCACCGAATAGCCATGCCCCCCCATTCTCATGGTTGTCTGGAATCGCTTATTAAATAAATCCAGGTGGGAAGGAAATCAACCAGTATCGATATTGTTTCACTTTCCAAATTTTGGCAAATAAAAAGTCCATAAGTACTGCAGTGTGATGTAAAACAGTATCTATGGCTTTTTATTTGCCAAAATTGTGTAAGTGGCTGTCTATTTATAGTGATTAAAGGTGTCATTTCGTACTGCACCATTGGGGTGTTTCTTTTCTGTTTCTACATGACCACTAATCCTGAGAGAGAAAGATTAATGAGAAGAAGAGTGTTATCTATGTTGCCATAAGCTCCTCATTATTAGGAATCTGTTAAATTGTGGAGTGGCGTGAGCTGATCATGGGAATGACAGATATGGAGATTGGAGGCTAAACAGAGAGGATTGAAACAATATCGATACTGATTTCCTTCCCACCTGGATTTATTTAACTACCTGCCGACCGCAGATAGCAGAATGACGGTTGCACTGCGGCCGGCCAGTTCTGGGTGGACGTCATATGACGTCCTCCCAGAACGCGCTCTCCTGCGCGCACCCGGCGATCTCCGTGATCGCTGTGTCCTACGGACACAGCTGATCACGTGACATGGTAAAAGGCCAATCACAGCGGCCTTTTACCACGTGATCAGCCGTGTCCAATGACATGCTGATCACCGGGAAATGCAAATGCCGGTTCCCGGCTGCACTTTCCTCGCGCTGTCAGATCGTGAGGAAAGTGCTGCCGAAAACCGGCAGTTGTCAGAGCGGGGATCGGCACTGATCATCAGGATCACTGATCATCAGTGCCCTGATGATGATCGGTGCCCAGCAGTGCCACACACAATTTCCGCCCACCTGTGCCCAGCAGTGCGCCCACCTGTGCCCAGCAGTGCCACCCACCTGTGCCCAGCAGTGCCACCCACCTGTGCCCACTCACCTGTGCCCAGTAGTGCCACCCACCTTGCCCACCCACCTGTGCCCACCCACCAGTTCCACCCACCAGTGCCAGTGCCACCCATCAGTGCAGCCCAGTCAGTGTGCCCCAGTCAGTGCCGCCAGTCAGTGCCCAGCAGTGATGTCAGTGCCACCTATCAGTGCTGTCTATCAGTACCCATTATCAGTGCCGCATATCAGTGCCACCTATCCGTGCCACCTCATTAGTGCTGCCTATCAGTGCCGCCTATCAGTGCTGCCTATCAGTGCCCATAAGTGCCGCCTATCAGTGCCCATCAGTGCTGCCTCATCAACGCACATCAGTGAAGGAGAAAAATTACCTGTTTGAAAAATTTTATAATAGAAACAAAGAAACTTTTTTTTTTTTTTTTCCACATTTTTTTGCACTTTTTTTGCTTATAGCACAAAAAGTAAAGTGCCCAGCAGCGATTAAATACCACCAAAAGAAAGCTCTATTTGTGAGAAAAAAATGATAAAAATTTCATATGGGTACAATCTTGCATGACCGCGCAATTGTCATTCAAAGTGCGACAGCGCTGAAAGCTGAAAATTGGCCTGGTACATAAGGGGGTATAAGTGCCCGGTAGGCAAGTGGTTAATAAGTGATTCCAGGCAACTGTGAGAATGGGGGGCATGGCTATTCGGTGAGTGCATACCTGAAAGGGGGAACGCCATCCTTTTGCACGTGGTAATTTCTTTTTGGGAATTTCAAGATTTATTTGGTGGAAGAGACTTTTTATGGACTTTTATATATATTTTTTTCACTTCTGTTGAGTGATCACTTATTCATTTATTCGCATATTTATATATTTTTTTGCGCTACTGAATCACTTTGAGGGTTCATTTGTTGGTCAATTGATTATAATAGAAGTGGCAGCATTGTTCATTGCTATTTATATATTTATTTATCATTTATTGCATCTAGCTCTAAAGTTTTTGTTAGTGTCATTTAGAATGCTCAGTAATGGCTTTCACTAACCTCCTCTTCTTCCTTGCCAGGCTCTCAATGAAAACTGTAATTTGTCATTTGTCCGTCCACGCTGGATCTACACCTGCAACGATCGACAAAAATGTGTCCCCCACCAGCCATATGTTGTGGTGCCACAGGCATAGCATATGTGGAGCTTTTGTATAGGTTCGCCATGTGGTATTGGCGGCACACCGTACTTTATGGTCAATTGTAGGTCACCCAAGCTAAGCCGTGTCCTGCTGACTCAACACTTAATGGACAAGCGTGATCCTTCCTTTACTTACCCATATGTGAGCAGTGGTTTGTGGCTATCGATTGATTGCAGTATGTATGGTTTACATGCCTCAGTTTGTTTTGTTTTTTTTTTGTTTTTTTGCTTATTTAAAATGGAATTCCAGTCAACAATGAGGATCACCCTGTGCTTCCTACTTCCTGTTTTGTACTATACTTTCAATTTACCTGTTGCTCCTGTGAGCTCCCAGTATTGGTCAAGAGAACTATTTCAGGGCTAACACATTTATATTGCCATCATTGATTTGCAGTTCAGGTTAGCTTTGTCAGCCCTCCGCATCTTCCACATCTAATTACATATGCACAATGATGCTGCCCTTTGGACGCCTCTTCCTACGTACAAACGTCCTCATTCATTAGGAAGCTCTGACAGTGCAGGACTGGCCCCCTATACCACCTCCCAGCTGTTGGTGACCAACCCAATTATTTGTAACTGAGGTAACCAGATGGGATAAATGATACAAAGGGGTTGGTTTACTAGAACTGGAGAGTGTAAAATCTGGTGCAGCTCTGCCTAAAAGCCAATCAGCTTCCAGTTTTTTTTTGTCAAAGCTTAACTGAACAAGCTGACGTTAGAACCTGATTGGCTACCATGCACAGCTGCACCAGATTTTTGCACTCTTCAGTTTTAGTAAATCAACCCTGAAATAGATCAGAGAGGCACTAGGTCTTCAACACTTATTCGTTCCAGAACACAAAAGGACCATAATTGTTCGATGAGTTGACTTACTGTGGTGAGGCTGCTCCCGTGGAGCAAGGCTACCCATTGTTGGGTCCCTAGAAAAGTAACTTAAAGTATGTATGTACGCCACTTGCACCGATCTAAGGGTGGAATAGTCTAGAATGCTTTCATTGTTCATAAAATGATTGTATACAGCAATCAACATGTTTCGGGGGGGGGGGGGGTCAAACATGCTCCTCCTTTGTTAGGGCTCAGAAAGTTTGACTGCTTTAATGGACCTAGCTAAGTGGATACAAGATAGATCTGTTGTATTCTGCTTTGAAAGGTTACATAGGGGGGGCAGATTATGCTAGTGTTAACAGTTATCTGCCTATCTATGACCATCTCAGCACAGAAGGGAAGGTGGTGCTGATATGTTTACAAATGGCTTTTAAAAGCTATTTGTGTTTTGGGGGGACAGAGTCTGGCAAAAAATGGACCTTCTGTATACTGTGGAAGGTTCACTTATAGGGAGGATCTATATTGAGAAAATACACCTCCACCAAAGTGGAGTTTGTGACCTCACCACCCCACCTCACTGTCTTCTTCAACCAGAGAACACTGCATTCATTGAAAAAATGCAAGGTGTTCTCGGAATGGTGCCCATGCCGAGCGAGCATCCCCGTGTGGTCTCTCTGCAGCCGCGCAGCCACTTGGCATGGGACCTGGAAGACAGCCGTGATCACCGTAGGAGCGGAGGCCACTGCAGTGATTTTCAGCTTCAACAGGGATCACTAGATATGGAATATATATACTTGGATTGGTCCAAGCTATACATTTATTCCAATGCAAGTAGAATTACATTGCAGTGAAGTTATCCTGATCTTGTAATAAAATAAATGAATAGCTGGACTCTATCAGCGGTGTGATGCTTTGATCTGAGATCGCTTGAATTCCATCGCAAACCAAGGAATGTGTGGAGATCTTTTAGTGTGTAGAAGCCACCAGCCCTGAATCCAAACATCCTGTACAGCACTGGATAGTAACATCAATAGGGAAATTGTAATGTTCTAGTGCTACCTATGTACTCCTCCAGTGTAAGAATGAATCGCACCAAAGCATTGCACCACACGGCAACAAGGCTCTAAGGGTAGGACTATGCAGGTATGTTCAGGTACCTCTACTTTATACCTGATTTTTTCCAGCATGAGAGTCGCTAAAAAAAACAAGTGATTATTTGCAACTTCCAATTGCAATCCTGAACCAGTCCCACCAAAGCTATCATCTTTTAGGTATGTGGAAGAACGGTCCTTGCTGCTTATACAAACCAATCAGGTTCTTCCATTTTTGGTTTCCAATATAGTTTGTCAGAACACAGCCAGGCAATGGCAACAGGAAGTGTTCCTGTAATAAGTGGGGCCCATTGGTCTCTGTCTTAGTGACATCACTAATTCCTAGCGAATTGGCTGATTAGTTTCTTGGTTCATTGCTTAGTCCCCAATTTGTCTCCCTCCACTATGTGTGACAGTGAACTTCAGAAGCTAAGATACTGCAGATCCGGATCTATAATTGTACAAGTGGTTGTATTAGAAAAAACTGCGTTTGTGTATAATACTCTTCTGTGTGTGAAGGTTTGATAGCGTTTCCAGTTTATATTTGTGTGTTTGATGTGTAGCAAAATAATATTTTTAATCTGTAAAGAATGAATTTGTAGAATGTAAAAATAAATATCCTTTTGTCTGTTTACTCTGGAGAGTTTGTTTGAAACACTGGTTTATGATGATGTACTCCACAGGGGTTTGATTTTTGAGAAACAGTTGACAGGTGGCTTGGACGTAATTTGTTGCCTTCTTGCTACGTTTTAAAGCGGAGTTCCACCCAAAAGGGGAAGTTTTGCTTTAAGGATTGGCACCTTTGGGGAGTGGGTACCCGAAATTGACAGGTACCCGTTCCCACGTCTGCTGCAATCGCCTAGGTGATTGGAAGCGGAAGTTGTTGTCCTCCTACACTCCCTCCCTGTAGTCTTCTGGGACACATGACAGGTCCCAGAAACGATGGGGCCATTCAGGAAGCGCAGCGCTACTCACGCATGCACAGTGGGCACCCGGCTGTGAAGCCGCAAGCTGTCACATCTGGGTTCCCACACTGAAGATGCCAGTACACAGGACGACCGGTGAAACGGGCTGCGGGGAGGACACCATGGGATCGTGGGACAGGTGAGTGGCTGTTTTTTAAAAGTCAGCAGCTACAGTTTTTTTAGCTGCTGACTTTTATTTTTTAACAGTGTGAGTGGAAATCCGCTTTAATTCTGAAAAGCCCATACCACCTTGGCACTACCACATTCATTGCACGAGGTTGCGGCAAAGTCTTATTCACTTGAGTAGAGTGTGTCCCGCTTTACATAAGTTACCCTTTATATTAGATTCTCCACCACAGCCCCCCCCCTACTCACATCAGGGTCCCCATCAGAGTCCCACTCACTTCAGCGTCCCCACCAGAGTTAACCTTCTACTTCGAAGTCCCTATCAGTCCACCTATACGTCAGAGCCTACCCTTTCTGTTGGGGTGGGGGGAGAAGTGGAGACTACATCAGCTGTGAGCTGGATAACACCTTGCAGGGGGCCTCGTGGCCCACAGGTCATAGTTTGGAGACTTCTGGCGTAATGGGTTAAAGTGTTACTAAACCACAATAAAATCAGTCTATATATGCAGTATTGCATGCTTGTTATACTCACTGTGGAACCTAAGGGGTCAATTTTCTGCATTGTGTAAAAAGGATGTTTAATCCTATGTTCTCTGATCCTCCCCTTCTTCCACGGTCCTGATAGAACAGAGCCTTGGGGTAAGCTGCACATGCTCAGTTTGGTGTGTATTGCTAGTTTTTTTTTTTCTTCCCTTGGGAGAGTGCATGTGATCAGTACAGGGCCAGTCAGCACTGTCCAGACAGAAGGTCAGAGGTCCTGCAGCCTCATAGGGGATAATGAAAAATTCTCCTACAAGCTTTAACCAGTCCTCTGCTTGACACTGATAGAAGTCACAATACTGCTCTGACTGCTGATGAGAAAAGGTATTTAGCAGTTTATATTTACTAAACTAATTGCATTTCCATGTTCTGTGTACTGAGGGAGACCAGATATAGTGAATGCAGGGTCCTGGGTTTAGTAACTTCTGTAGGATCTGTTTCATCTCTGTGTTCCACCTGAGGCCAGTCACTTCACTGGGTATATGTGAGGGTTTACAACCACTTTAAGCTTTGAAAATTAAAGAGACGCAAAATATAGCTATTCCTATTTATAGGCTACACCAGCTTAGATTGCCTAAGGCTAGGTTCACACCTAACCTAGGGGGTGCAGCGCAGTAAACCATGCGCATTTTTGCACACATTAATGTGCACTGTGTTAGGCAGGCCATTCAGGGTGAATTGGCTGGCACGCACCTTCGTGGTCCAGAACTCAGACCTGAACTTTTTTGACAGTGCACCCATGATGGTGGGATAGGTAGAGTGCCACTCAGAATGAATCCCAATGGCGAAACGGAAAAGAAACAAATCGATCTGTAGTATAAAAACAGTATATATATTATACTTGTTGGGCACACATTTAACCCCTTGATTGCCCCCAGATGTTAACCACTTCCCAGCCAGTGTCATTAGTACAGTGACAGTGTATATTATTAGCACTGATCACTGTATTAGTGGCAGTTAAGTCAGTTCCCACAAAGTGTCAGATTTCCCGCCACACTATCACAGTCCCACAATAATTTGCTGATCGCCGCCCTTACTAGTATACAAAGATAAATAAAAATTCCAGTATATATACCATCATTTGTGGATGCTAAATCTTTCAGGCAAACTTAATATACACTTACGACATGTAGAATACATTTTGGCCTAAATTTATGAAGAAATTAGATTGTTTGTTTTTAATTGAATATATTTTATAGCAGAAAGAAAGTAAAAAAAAAAATTTCAGTCTTTTTGTTCATATAATAAAAAAAATAAACCCGGTGGTGATCAAATAACACCAAAAGAAAGCTCTATTTCTGTGAAAAAAAAGTATATAAATTTCATTTGGGTAGTTTTGCATGACCATGCCATTGCCAGTTAAAGTAGCGCAGTGCCGAATAGCAAAAAAATGGCCTGGTCGTTAAGGGGGTAAAATTCCAGAGATGAAGTGGATAGTAAAGACCAAG